AAAAAAAATATATGTTAAAGTAGAGAGTTTACAGATTATTTTTATGAAGTATAAAAGTGGTCACTCAAAAATATCATCTCAAAAAAAATTCACAAAGAATTAAAAATTTTTTTTAATGGTTTTGTTTTCATCGTAAAAATTTCAAAAAATTTTTTCATCTTATCTAAACGATGTTTACAACATATATTTTGTCATTAAAATCAATACAGTCGTTTCCGAAGAAAATTACTTTTTTTATTTTGCTTTCCCCCTCCCTAACTCCCCAAAAAATGCAATTTCGAGGCTAATATTTGGGGAAGTTTTACATCTCAGAAGTATCAAATAATAACACCCATTTGAGCTCGATTAGTTCGCAGATTTTACATGCTTATTCCGCTATGCCCTTTTGGTAAAAAGGCAGCAATATATATATAAGAATTATTAATTTATCAAACTATATCAAATAAATATAAATTTTATAATAATAGACGAAATCGGAAACACTATTTTACCTTAGTAATCTGATTAAACTACTCGCAGATTCAGAATGCCCGAGAATAGATTTTACGGAGTGAAATTTAGTAATACATAGAGTAAAATTTAGTAGTACACAACTTTCCGAGATTTACCATATTCCTTTGGAAAGTCACACGCCCCGAAGCAGGGAGGAGATGGGATGAAAGTCGCTTCGCGTGGAAGTCGTACGCTCCTAAACAAGAGGGAGGTGGGGTGAAAGTCGCTTTGCGTGGAAATCGTACGCTCCTAAGCAGGGGGGGAGTCGTTTCGCGTGGAAATAGCGAACCCCTTGGCAGGGAGGAGGTGAGGTGAAAATCGCTTCGGGTGGAAAGTAGTATGCTATGACTTTTTATTATGAAACTTTAATTTACTATATCTTCTAAACCAATGCCGTCCCCCATTTCATTCTTATGGAATTACTCAGGACACTCTTCGCTACAATATATCAAAAGGCATTGAAATCGATGAAGTGTCATGGCTAAAATAAATATTTACCATTTCTTTGTACTGTATAACATTTTTATACATATATAATATAACATATAGCATAATATGTTACATATAAAAATAGTACAAAAAGATAACTGAATTTGTCTTACATGACACATGTCATATATTATGTATATTTTATAACATGGTACTTTCAAAGAAGGTACGATTTAGGTAAGTGGTTGTCTTCGTACTATTTTTATATGTCTTACAGCATGTTCCAAAAAGATTTATAACAAATTAATTTAATGGCGAAGGGTTAAATATGCAAAATAGATGCCTGGAACATCAAGTTACAGTTTCTAATGCTCATTTATATTTAAATCGATATAATTTTCCTCTGTGTATATATATATATATATACATATATATATATTTCTCCTCTATATGTATCTTTTTTTTACCTGAACGTTTTTATTAATAAACCTTTTTTGTGTTTCAATAGCAGATGACCCTATAATTACGGCAATATTTTTTCCTTGTAATGGCTTTGGATTGATCCCTGCATCGATAATTGCTTCATAAGAATGTTCCAATAACAATCTCGTCTCAGGTACAAGTGTGTGTGCTTGCTCAAAAGATAATCCAAAAAAATCCGCATCGAATTTTTCTATATTATTAACTGTTCCCATACGGCGTGGAAATTCCTCATGATCTAAAAATATATTCACATAAGGATTTTATGCTCTTTTATCATTTTGTATGAAACTTTAATTTGATATATACTTTTTTGTTGACAAATAAATAGTACAGTAGGAGTGGCATATACTATCTTAACCAAACAGGCGTAATTGTAAAAGTATAATGTATAACCATTAGAGTAATTATTATTTTAAGAACTTTTGAAATTTAATCGGCACATTCCCTAAAGTCGTTAAATATCTACAAAAAATAACACCAGATTTTTTCAAATTTTTTGAACACACACACACAATTTTAACCCACGCCATCGAGACATGGATATGCGGAAAAACACCTTTATGGACAAAATTCGGTCGACACTCTAATTCTTAACAAATTTTAAATTTTTTATTTTAATTTGTTCGATATTGAGTGAGCTAAAAACCCATTTTGCTTAAATTTTGATTACGATTCAAATAAAAAATTGCCGATCCGATATTCGTTATCATATAATTAAGTTTTTTTTGCTTTCTTTATTGGCAATTTTTACTTTGTTACCATAATCAAAACACATAAAATGGGCTTATGGCTTATTCAATTTCGAACAAATTAAAAACAAACTTTAAAATTGGTTAAGAATTAAAGCGTCGGCCAAATTTTGTTCACAAAGGTGTTTTTCCGCTATACCGTGTCCTAGTGGCACGGTAATTGTTCAAAAAATCTGAAAAATCTGATATTATTTCTTTGAGATACTGAACCATTTTAGGGAATGTCTTGATTAAATTTCCAAAATTGTTATAATAACAATCATCCTAATAATCATAAGTATGAATTAATCACCTATCTCCCATCGGTTATGATCTGCTCTTACAAGGTCAATTTTATTGAATAAATTTTCTCGTAATTGATTCATATTATCTGAATAAGGAAATCTACCAGCAATACCAGAAATAACGATTTCCTCACTGGAATCAATATCGTTCCACGATCTACATGTTTTTTTGTCATCCATGATTCTCATATACTCGGATAATCCAGAAAAATACTATGTATATTTATTTCATGCAAGGTTAAGTACATGGTTATTTTTCTGTCAACTGAGTTAAGTTAAAGTTAATTAAAATAAATAAAGAAA